GTAAAAACTGTAGGGTGTGTGTGTGTGTGTGTGTGTGTGTGTGTGTGTGTGTGTGTGTGTGTAAGTGTAAAATGCTGACTTCTGAACATGGCATGAGTGCCGCATTTTTTAACTCATTGCGGCTGTGATTACTTGTACAAGTTTACCACAAAAGTGGACCTGTTAACATCTTGCCATGGAAATGGGGAGGTATGGTGAGACCACACCCCTCCCTGATACACACAGTAAATGGCTGATGAAGGAAGGAGGGACTTTTTTTTTTTCAGTTCTGTAGCCACTGATAAGATGCGCATGCTGCTATAAGCCAATTCTCACTCCTGCTTTCGTAAACAATCAAATAAAACTCATTGGGCCACAGAAATGAAAACCCACAAAAAACTAAGAACTTAACCATGACAGTAGAAGTGGGCCAGGTTGGGAAGAGGAAAAACATCACTGGAACAGGAGGAGGACTAGAAACGTTGAAAGCACGTGATGTTCGTGTATGCAAATGTCATAATAAAACCCAGTATTATATAATTAATAGATATGAAAAATGCTGAGCATGGTGGTGCATGACTTTAATCCCACCATTAGGGAGGCTGAGGCAGGCAGATCTCTGTGAGTTCGAGGCCATCCTGGCCTACAGAGCAAGTTCCAGGTCTGCCAGGGCTGTTACACAGAGAAAGCCTGTCTAGAAAAACCAAAACCAGGGGCTGGAGAGATGGATCAGAGGTTAAGATCACTGACTGCTCTTCCAGGGGTCCTGAGTTCGGTTCCCAGCAACCACATGGTGGCTCACAACCATCCGTTTATGAGATATGGTGCCCCCTTCTGGTGTGCAGATATACATGGAAGCAGAGTGTTGTATAAATAATAAATAAATAAAATCTTAAAAAACAAACAAACAAAACCAACTGTGCTCTTAACTACTGAGCCACCCCTCTAGCCACAGATGACATTATTTGGAAAACATGAGGCTTTGCTGTTGACCCTGATGTATAGCAGTGTGTCAGTTATGTCTCTACTACTGAACACCAGTGGGGAAAGCAAAAGCACTTTTCAGAGTGCAACAGGAATAAACAGCCACTGATGTAGAAGGATGAGTGAAAGGAAGACCTATGGGTCCTCCAGACAGGGAGCTAGCCGGCATAGGCTGTTCCCTACTCTGCATGCACTTCCTTGGTAGTCCTGAAAATTGGGAAGGGATGAATAAGAGATCTGCCAGACATTCCAGTGCTTAGCTTTGGGGTTTAGTGTTGCAGTAACAGCTAGAGAGCTTTCCTGGCCCTCAAAGAATGTGCTCATGCACAGGAGGGCTCCGCTAGTTCTGTCTGTAATCAGCAGGTCTTGATGTAGGATTGGCTGTGGATCTGAAAGCCTGGACAAAGAACAGTGTTTCCTGCGGGTATCTGTATTTACAGCCATCCTAACTCCCTTCCTAATGTATCTGCAGGTTGCTCCATTGCTCACCAACATGGAAGAGGCAGTTGGGTCCCCCAAGGATAAGCAACCTACATGCTTTTCTGATTTTGTATTCATTGGCAAAGACAGCAATATTTTAACTGTAGAAGTTATCAATAAGATTGAGAAGGCTGTGAAAGGAAAAGATTGGGTAGAATTGGTCTCTATAGTCAAGGATATCAAAAAGAAAATATCAATAACCACAGTGAAAATTGCTGTGACTGGAGACTCCGGCAATGGCCTGTCATCCTTCATCAATACTCTTAGGCTTATTGGACATGAGGAGGAGGATTCAGCTCCCATTGGGGTGGTGAGGACCACCCAGGAACCAGCCCCTTACTTCTCTTCTGAGTTTCCCAATGTGGAGTTGTGGGATCTGCCTGGCACAGGGGTCACATCCCAGAGCATGGAGAACTACCTGCATGAGATGGGGTTCGACAATTACGACCTTATCATCATCATCGCTTCTGAGCAGTTCAGTTCGAATCATGTGAAGCTGGCCAAAGCCATGCAGAGGATGAGAAGGAGGTTCTATGTCGTCTGGACAAAGCTGGACAGGGACCTCAGCTCAAGTCCCCTCTCAGAACCCCAGCTACTGCAGAGCATCCAAAAGAATATCTGGGAGAGCCTCCAGAAGGAGGGGGTGAAGGAACCCCCCATATTCCTGGTATCCAGCATGGAGCCTTTAGCATATGGCTTCCCGGAGCTTAGGAAGATGCTGCAAGACGACATCTCCAACAGCAGGAATGATAGCCTCTTAGAAACCTTTTTCCTTATATGTGAGAAGACTATTAATGACAAAGTAGAATCCATTAAGATGTGCATAGAGGCAGATAATCTACGAAATGATTTTGAAATCTCGGATCCAGATAATCTGGGAGAGTGTCAGAAAGTCTTCCAAGAAAAGTTTGGTGTGGATGACAAATCCCTCCACCAGTTGGCTCTGATTATGGGACAGCCATAAGCTTATTACATAGATGCCAAGCAGTCCCAGGTTATACGGATGTATCCACATGGTGACTCGACACTGTCTTGGCTGTATCATTCTGGAGCCCAAGTTTTCTTTAAAAACTTTGACTCTGTCTATTGCTGTTTTAACCATAATCATCATAGACACAAGCAACAGAAATGTGTACTTGAGGACGTTGCTGAGGAAACCAAGAAAATTCTTAGGAAAATTGTGAAAGATACTATTATTCTTCCTTAGGAAGGCTAGACAACTGAGTTCCTCTCCCCAGCTCTATACTCTACATCTATCCCAAGTTGAGCTTACCTGTCCTATGGGTTCCAAGTTCCATGAGGTCAATAGGTCTTCTTTCTTGATGGGTGTTCCCCTCAGGAAACACCATAATGGATTTTGCTTTATACCATTTGTTTGACTTTATTAGTTGAACTATTTGGGATTCCAATAGAGGAAACATTTCCTTTTTCTAATTGCACAGAATTTCACGTTTGCCACATAGTCACCTTAGCACCTATGATTGATATTGTTTTTCTTAGAGGGCTCTTGGTTTTCCTTTATCTCTTTCCCCTCTCTTCTTCCTTTTCTTGGGAGATAGAGCATCCCTTCTGGAATGAGGAAGAGCTTGTTTTTGCCCATAGGCTGAAGCATGGCTAGTAGAATCCTGTTCTCTGACCTCTCCTCCATGTGTAAAGAGAGGGGGATTAGTCCCACTGGTAATGGGATTCACAAAGTGCTGCATGAAAGAATTTTAAGTCCCTGGCACTACCCCCAATGGCATCATGTCTAGTCATGGCCCCTCACACTCTGTGTACCCACAGTTTCTCATATTGGATCTGAACTTCTTCAGCCACCCCTAACTCTACAGGCCAAACCCCTGTCCAGACACACGGGCCCTTCTCCCTCCCACAGGGAGCTTTCCATTTCACTCAGTTTGTGTGTTTTTGTGTTTACCTAGGACAGACGCTGCTCCATGTTCTGCCACATCCCTTTCTCTCAGTCCCACTCTCAATAGATGTCAGAGTGTTGTCACCCCAATCTTGTAACTGTCTCACCCC